TGTTGTAGCGCCGACTCGCATGTGTGATGATGCTAGGAGCAGGGAATCGGGAGATGCACACTCCCTGACCGGACATTCGGGGAAGCAGCAGCAGTGAAAAGGAAAGAAAATGTGAGTGTTCAGCAACATTGTGAAGCATCATCATCATTTGCAAGGGATTAATAGGGCAGGAGGGATGTATCTGTAAAAAAAAACGGCTGAGGCTTTAGTTCTACTTTAACACTTCTATTCACTGAATTTTAACATAACTAGAGGCTGTGAGGCTCATTCACAATCCTCTGGTTGCCAGCACAGAAAAATGCATTACACACAAAAAAAGTTCCTAAATGATTTAGGTTCACAGACGGGAAATGCTGTGCATTCTAGTTCATTTGATGTCAACAAAGCCAATGTACATCTTTCACTTTAATAGCAGCTGCATGATTCGGCAAGACTTCAGCTTTCAGCTAATAAATAATTCCTAGGTTATCTTATTCCTGAATCCTCAGTTGTGAACTAGGAGTATGTTGTATGTGCTGATAAGAAACAGCATAACACACAGAAGTCTAGCTGACTGCTTCATTAGAGCTGTATTACCCTACACAAAGATCATTGCATTCTGTTTGTTATTTGTCCCTAAGGACAGGAAAACATCTTGCTAACAAGCCCAGTGAATCCTTCATCTGCTATTATGTAAATCATCGCTTGCACAATAACCAATGAGTTTTGATTAACCTCGAAAAATGAACAGTAAGAGCCAACGGAGAAGCCACAGGGTTAACATTAGTCTCCACTGCAACTGAGCCCAGGGCCCTTGGGCAACTATTGGGGGCCCAAACAGAGGTGTCTTTAAACTCCCAGGTTCGATGACCCCCCTTACCAGTGATATAACTGCCGAGCTTACACGTAAAATCTGTTGCAGAGAGCTGTAATCAGCTGTCTGGTTGGAAATGTCTTCTGTTATCAAGATTGCAAGAAGGCTTCTAGGGTGAGAGATGTTAGCCACCAGACAGGTTTCTAGTATTGCAGGCTCTTTGTTATGAAACTTCCAGCATACAGATACCATGCTAAATATGCTTTAGCTTTCATCTCAATAGACATTGCATAAGCCAGGGTTTTAATTTAACCAAATTCATGTCATTGAAATTTATTTTGTATATTTCTTAGCCATAAAATGGAGACATACTATGAAAAAAATAACAGGGAGGCAGCAGGGGAGGCTAAGGACAAGGGAGAAAAAACACAGTCCAATGCCAGCTATAAAGTAGTATGTTTTTCATTTAAAAAAATCATTAAATGTATTTTTAAATGAGACTAATATAAATACCTAAATTTCTTATATTAGCCTCCAGTAATCCTTGTACATTAGCCAAACAGGGCTAGATACATGCAAATATTACTGCAAGGAACATGCTGACAGTAGGGGAGAGTGGTGACCTAATCAGTCTGCTGCTGCTCCATCATTGTCCATTTGCAAGCTGGAGCAGGGGCATGGTCTAGTTGTATTTACTAAATGCAATAAAGAAAAATTTGATCACCTGGCTGTGCTGTCTGGCCGTCTCAAGACTGACTGGAGAAAATTACATACAATTCCCATATAAGTATAGTTTTGTTTAATGCGCATTCTTGGCATGCCTCCATGCTGGGATGAATGAATTCTTGTCAGCATGTTACATCCTCCCGGGTTGGCTAGTCAAGTTCACCGAAGATACTGAACGCAGAAGATTAGAGGGGTTATTCACTAAGGAGGCGCAGGATATGGTTGTAGCTTTGGCTAATCCTTCGGCTCACTTAGGCTGCTGGAGCAGTTGAGCCAAACCGAAGGGCTGCTCTACAGGCTATTCACAATAGCCTGCACACCCGCCCTGAAGAGCTTAGCCGAGCCAAACGCAGCCGAAGCGGACCGCTCTCCATTCAAATGTAAACAAAGGAAAACAAACGGCGTGGGGTACCCCTCCCGATCCAGTTAGGTAAGTTAGGAGGGACCCCCAAGTTAAAAATAAAAAAAGTGCGTGGGATTCCCCCCAAAAGTCATAACAGGCCCTTTAGGTCTGGTAGGAGTTTAAGGGGGAACTCCACCCCAAAAAATGGGGGGGGGGGGGTGGGGGGGATTGGGAGTGTGCTTTTCCAAGGGTCCCCCTGGAAAGCACCTTGTCTCTATGCCGATGAGGACAAGGGCCTCTTCTGCCACAACCCTGACCCCCTTTAATAAAGGTCACCCAGATGCTGCCACTCCGACTTATGAATGAGTAAGGGGTACTTGTACCCCTACTGATTCACTGAAGGGTTAAATATGAGAATAGGGACTAACGGCAGTTAGTGAACTGCCGGAGGTTTGGCTGAGCCGATCCAGATGTTCTTTACTTCAGCTCAGTCGAAAATGCTGAGCATGTTCGGCTGAACCGGAAGAAGCCTTAGCCAGCTGATGTACAGCTGAAATGAACCATACTCGGCTGAAGTGAATAGCTGAACGGCATTCGCTCCTTTCACTTCGGCTCGGTTAGTCACTCGGGTGCCTTTGGCAGCTTAGTGAATAACCCCTTAGGTGTTGGTGTCATCAAAGCATCAAGATGAAGGGGAAGCTAGTATAGGGGATTTTATTTCTGCTTTAAAGTTGGACAAAAGTTACTCTGTGGCTTCATATGGTGCCCAATATCCAGGGTGGTTAGTTTAGTCTTAAAGTGTATGTAAACATCTATTTGTGCCCTTTTGGTATTTGAAATATACAGTTGAAAGCATTTTGTTATATCGGTTTGATAAGGGAAAAACAAGATCTGTTAATCCTGTCAGAATTCTTGATTTCTGTACTCCTATTTTAGGGGGTCAACACTGCTCCTTTACAAATACAGTACAGTGAGTGAGCATTGTAACTCTAGGATAGGAAGTGTGTTATTGGCAGAATCACCAGGTTAAAATAAAGGAAAAAAGGTGATGCAGCTACCACATCAAAAGACTGGTAAGCTGCAATATGTAATAGGTTTGTCCTTGAGTTTAAATACTCTTGAACCATATAAGGGACACAAATAAAACAGGTTGTTTTTTTTTACTCATATACTACTTTATAGCTGGCAGTGGCATAAGTAAAGGGTGCATGTTGCAGAGGAAGGAAAGCAGCATTCCTGTTTCTCCGGCTAGCAGGCTAGACATCATCTTTTCATAGGACCTAAGTGAAGGGGAGTTACAAAGTTCTCTAGAAGAGTGATTAGATTCAGCAATACAAAAGATGAAATAACATAAATTAGAAGGTGACAGTCTGACTTTACCAGGCTCGTCACAGAGAGAAAGCTGCAAAATAAAGATTTAATACAGAAATGTAAAACATGTTTTAATGATCACTCGATAACAGTTTTACCTAGTGCCAATGCTTAAGTTGTCTTTATAAAACCTAGAGCTGGGGCATTCTTCCTGTGTTGCCACTGGTCATTCTTCTGTTACCTTTCCCACCCTAACATGTCCCATACTTCAGCTCTACCCCCTCTCCCACAAGTCATAGGTCCTGCTTCATTTAAAATTGAGTATAGAGTGGATAAGCACTTTCTCTCAAGGCACTTTTGCCCCCCTCAATCTACTAATCAGAACCAACATTTAAGGAATTTATTTATTTTTTGTATTTCTGTAGCACTGACAATTAATGCAAGGCTTTACATTCACCTCGGTCCCTGCCCTCAAGGAGCTTACAATCTAAGGTCCCTATCTTAGATGCATACATACAGGGCCAATTTAGACAGGAGCCAATTAACCTTCCAGCATGTCTTTGGAGTGTGGGCGGAAACCAGAGTACCCAGAGAAACCCCACGCGAGCACATGGAGAACATACAAATTTCTTACAGATAAAGTCCTGACTGGGATTTGAGCCAGGGACCCCCAGTGCTGCAAGGCAGAAGTGCTAACCACTACACCATTACCTAATGATAATTCTGTTGTCATAGAAAGGGAAAGTGTGACTTGTTAGACCTATGAAAGGAAAGAAAGGCTCTGTGGAGGCTGGATGTGTAAAGAACTCCCTTTGCCTCTACAACTGACCACACAACTAAGGGGGTTTCCCTGAATACTGCCCAAGTTATATACCAGCAATATTAGTTTTGTCATGTACACTTGTTTGTATATACTGTGTATAAATGATGAACTTGAAATTAATTTTTTCATCTGAATTTTCGTCAAGAATGTGTATGTTAATTCTGCAGGGGGAGGCGGAAAAGGAAAGGCATAAGCATGGGTCAGTGATATCTGCCATGCGTGAAGAAGAGAGGTTGAAGATGGACAAAGTAGCACGAGATCTTGAACTAAAATGGACCGAGACCCTCAGGTATTGTTGGAAATATATTCTTGATGAAGAAGGTACACAAACATGAACTCTGGTATTCGGTATGTATATCATCCCTTTCTTTGAACGTAGGCAAGAATGCAGTAAACTACGAGAAGAACTGAGGATACAACATGATGAAGAAAAGAAGGCTGCAATGGCTCAGCTCCAGCAACTGAAGGAACGAGAAATAAATACAGCAAAGGACAGCTGGCAGAAGAAAGTAGAGGACCTTCTAGACCAGGTACCACATATCTGCGTGGTTTAGTGTGAAGTGCATGAAGTACAGTCATAGAAAAAGAAGCTGTTATGCCTGGGAAATAATTTTATTCACCAAGTAAATATTTTTCGTTACTTTGTACTAGCCTCAGTAAATATATTTATTGTATTGTATACTGACAGCTATAACCGATCTGGGAACAGTTATTTCATTGTGCACAAACAGTCCACTGTATGCAATGGTCTTGAGCAGATTGATGACTAACGATATTTAGTGATACAGAAATACAGAAATGTTGGTCATTCTTGGCAACTAATATTGTATGGTAGATAGAAAAAAACTGCGCTAGGAATCAAATAACACTCTAAGAGCAGCTGTGCTTAATAGGTGAGTACACCCAAAATAGGAAAAAAGAAAGAAAATAGCACTGCGCTTCAAACTCAATAATTATATTCCTAAAATGTGAGAAAAATAGTATGAAATGTGAAATTGTCACAACGTGATAAACAATTTTGTGTTATACACAACACCTGTGTTGCACAATGCCTGTGCTGATGATAGTAAGAAAAAGCTCTAGGTCTAATGGTCTAGACACTATAAACCATAATAAACATGGGGGGAGAAACGTGCTAGTACATCTCATAAAATGTGTACATATAGAAAATCCTGTGTTAAATCTTACGAGTGATGTACAACTCCCTCATTAATCTACATAACCACAATTTCTCTTGTGCTCAGAGAGACAGAAAAAGGCTTCCCATAGTGTAGTATGTCAGAAAAAAATTATTTAAAACGATTAAAATGCACTTACAATTAAAATAAGGCAATTGCACATGGATTGTGTACACTGGAGCTCCTGTCTCTATGATTGCAATGCTCGCATAGATCCGCCCACCTGATGCATTTCGTCACTATTGACTTCCTCTGAGGCGACGGTCTGCATTTTTTCTTTTTTTTTTCTTCTTTTTTTTAACTAATATTGTATACCTTTCCTGGATGCCTTATGACTAATGAATGCATATGTCTGTTTTAATTCTCTGAATGAATGCATGTTTACACTTTTGAGCATTTTGCACTTATGGCCTAGAATCCATTGTGTATGTGCTGCAGCTAAATGAAAGTCATCAAATGTATACTGTATGTGCAATTTCTGGTTCTTTTCCTAGGCTTCTTTGTGTTAGGTTTGTTCCATGTTACAATCACATCGGTTTTTGTTGTTTTTTTTACCTCTGATGTCTTAATAAGACACAAATTACATGTGGTTCAGTAAGGCTGGATTAAACTCAGAATATTTATTAGAATATTTGATTAAAATATCAAAAAATATTTCTTATATTTTAAAGCTAACCATCATGCCTTTTTACCTCTCTCCTTTGCACCATAACATGCTTAAAAAAAGTCTAACAGGTTCCTCAATCCTTCCAGCGTGGATAGACGAATCTCCCACTGCCAGCTATTGTATTCAGCAGCCGCTGCAGTCGTTGTGTTGACCTATTTCAATTGCTTTTGTTTAATTTGTTCACCGCAAACAGTTAAAGTCAGTAAATTTTGCCAGTAAACCTGATTTGCAATGGGGGTTGAATATCTTTGATTACAACTGCATATGGTGACCTGCAGGGCCGGATTTCCCACTAGGCCAACTGAGGCCCAGCCTCGGGGCAGCAGGGAGTAGAGGGGCAGCAGAGGTGTGGAATTCCTATCTCCCGACGCCTGGGACATGTAGTTCCGGGCGCCAGGCGGGTAGTTGTTTTCTACATTTAGCCCTGCTTTGGACAAACAGGGCTAAATGTAGAGCGGGAGGGCCGCCGCTCGTTCTAAAAAAGTTGTTGTTTTTTTAAAGAAAAAAAAATCCAAACCAACCTTGCCTCCCCGCCATCTGGGGGAAATTTGGCAGAGAGGGGGGCACATTAAGGAACCTGGCCTTGGGGCAGCAGAGAGAGTAAATCCGGCCCTGGTGGCCTGTGCAGAATTTTAGTAGGGTCTCCAATCCTGGTGCCATAATATGGCCCATTTGTAATCAGAAGCAGAAAGCGTCATGTTACAAGAGTGGTACCATGCTACCAGAGTAATGTAATCTTCCAACGGTGCTGCCAGGACTATGTAATGTTGCTAGTTTGATGCCATGTTACAAGCAGGCGTACCAGTGTCATGAAATTAACTTTTAAATATTTTCTTATTTCCTGCTACATCATTTAGAGACCTGACAGAGATCTGCTGTTTGACAACCACTTTTTATTACAAACACAGCATGAATAATGATATTATCAAATGACCAGTTATAATGACAGAGTACAAGTGAAATTAAGCAAATAATATATCAGTTAATCAGCTCTAATAAAATTAACCAACAGTACTTAGCTTCATTTCTGCTGCTGCCATGGCTGCGATGACAAAGTGATTAGGAGAGGGTCAGCGAGCAAAGGAACAGCTGGAGTTATTGGAAATCTAACTTTATACACCCTCTATAGAATGGTGTCCTGTGCTCCATATAGGTAGCATATATCAGCTTTGCTGAAATTCAGGATTTTGTTTCTTTTCATAATCCGTAGAAGATAAAAGAAGTTAGTAAACGCTACTTCTTTCACTCGGTATCGTAGGCTAAGTGATGAGAATCTTTAATTTTCTCCTTTCAGACTGAACAGCTTTTTAATTGATTCCTGCGCTACAATATTTATTGTAAGCAAATGGAAAACTACAAAGACAACATTCTCAATTTTATGATTGAAATGTATTATGTGTTGGAGATTACAGTGAAAAAGTACTTTGCAGTCATAGCAACGCATGAATAGATTAACCTAATTTAAATGCACGATTACATCATGCTCGGCTAAAAATATAAAATTTTGGCCAGACGTGTGAAAGAGCTGGAATACTTCTAGCCAGCAATATCGTCAGCTAAAATCAGAGCTGTACAGTGAGCTAAGTTGTCAAAAGAAAATCTTGGATGGGAAATTTATTTTAGTGTCTTGTAACAATCACAAGCCATTCTACCATTTCTTTCCCATTTAAAAATAAAGCAATGCATTCAAAAGTGCAATATTCTCATTACCCAACTTGTTGAACAATAATGTCATTATACTTACGCTGCTCTAAAAATATAAAAGTAAGGTGGAGCAAAGTGAGGCTGTTGCCTATAGGAACCAATCCCAGTTTCCTTTTTTTCCCCAGTGCAAATTATAGAGTGAAATCTGTTGGCAATTGGCACATTTTCCTTTATTCCTGTTCCTCCTGTGGTTTATTATCAGTATTATTCTGATTAATTTTATAATGCAATTTGTACTACCTTCTTCAGTAAGCTTAAAGTGTATTTAAAGGCAAACATTTATCTTTTTTTCATTTTAGATGGTATAGGAAAGGGTTAGCAAAATATTAAGTTTGTATTGCTGTGTTCCCATTGGGTCGATTCTTCCTCTTAATTTGTCCTAGAAACCATTTCTACCAGGACTAAAAGTTGTGGAAAATCCAAATTTTGTTTTGTCACAAGCACAGGAATGGAGACAGAATCTTCCTAGTTTACAGTTTCAACTGTTTAGAGATTAACCCAACTTTCTGTTTTGTCTCTAAGACAGAAAGTGAACGAAACTCTCCCCAAAAGGACACAACAAAAAAACCTCTCAAACTTAAAGGGTTATTAAACCCTCCTTTTTTTGCATATATGTACTGCTAGCAAGCAGTACATATATGCAAAAAGTGTAAAAAAACAAAAAGCTTTAAAAGAGGTTAATACTCACCTGTGTCTTTGCTGCGCGCTCCCGTCCGAAAAATTTGATAATTCTCGGGCGAGCAAAACAAACGACATGCGCCCGCCCCAATTCTCGGGCGGGCGCATGCGCAGTTCGGATTTTCGGCCGGGAGACGAGGAGAGACACAAGGTAAGTATATGGACGCGTGCACCCGCATGCAGACACCGTGGGTCAGGAAGTGCCAGCAAGGACAGAGGAGTCATCGCTGGATCGGAGACAGATGGAGGGACAGATGAAAAGGACATGAAAGAAGAAGAAGATCGGATTAAGAATCATCATTTAAGGTAAGTGCTTTAATTAACATTGGGGGGCGAGAAAAATATTTTTGACTTTAATGTCACTTTAATTACCCAATATTTACTGAAATGTTCCTGTCCTTACATATCTCCATGGCATAACATATGGGTTGACGACTCCTCCTGCTCAACCCTCAGGGACATTTATAAATCTGAGTCCCACCCTAGCAGGAGCGTTCCATAATTAGATACTCTGGGTGGGCTCATGCGATGCCATGAAGATAGGTCAGAAAAGGTAAATTACGGTAAGTATTGGTAATCAATATTCCATTTTCATGTCCATGACACCACACATGGGAAATAACTACCACAAACTGGTGGGCTACAACAGTTTTAATCTGTCTTAGAAGCAGCAGATAATACAATAGAAGCAAATGTAGCCAATCTATACAGAAGTGGGACAGAAGCGTGTTAGAAGTTGACAAAATTGTCTTCATACAGATCGTTCTGATTAAAACCATCTGTGTTGCAGCCTATGACATGAATATGCTGCACATGGATTGTGCAGTTATCCCTTCTGGTGTCAAAAGAACTACTTTACTCCTGATTCTTTTCTAGGCATCACAATCAGCAGTTCTGACACTTTTAACTTTGCAGCCTAAGGATAGACTTTCAGTATTCTGCCTTCATCTGGTGGATAACCTTATGTGTCCTGTGGTATAGTAAAAGTGGGTAGGCTTGTTCCTGACAGAAATGGAACCTGAATAGACATGTGCACCAGCAAAAAAATTGTTTAGTTTAGTTTAGTTTTGAAACAAAAAATAATAATTCGTTTAGTTTCGTTTTTCGGATTCGGATTATGGATGAAATTCGTTGTTGGACGAATTTCATTCCAGCAAAATGACATTAGGGGGGCAAAAAAATGACTTTTTTTTATTTTAGTCTGCAGAAGATGAGAAAAAAAAAAAAGCCTGAGGTTCCCCCCCAATTCATACCAGACCCTTTAGGTCTGGTAGGAATGTTAGGAGAATGCCAATTCAAAAGC